GCAAATCCTGTTCTGGGTCCCAATACAAGACAGTTTTTCAGTATATGTTTAAGACCCAGTTTATAAGCACATACTGAAATGTAACATGCTAGGAGTGTATGCACACCAGTGTGCTTACCTGAATCAGGATCCTAATAACCAGTGGGTTCTCTCTATGTAAATGCCTCTCAGAATGTGTAAGGCATGTGCTTATGCATGTAGCCCCATTGGTTACAGTGGGAGGCTTGAGCCAGCATGAGAAAGGGGTGTATAATCAGACCTTACAGAAGCAGTTTAATTAGAGGAATGTAAAGTGTCCTCAGCGGGACGTAATGAGCATATCTACAACGTCAATGGAGCATGCCAAAGCATGTCCACTTTGCACCCCAAAAAAGATACTCTGTAGCTGTCTTAGAGCAGAGATGGATACATGACAATAAGCAGGATTAAACCAATCAGCTACACAGGGGGAGGTTGTGTGTAGGGAGTGTTCTTGTAGTCACTCTAGCACCCCCTGGCATGGTCGACAGTAGTGCAGACATGGTTTTATAGTATGTCTGCACCACAGTCAGTGGGATGATTGCAGCACCAGTAGGCAGCAGATTTACTCTAATTAGGTCAGGTACCAATAGCAAGCAAAGTCCAGCAATTCAGGCTTAAGTACAGGTGAACCATCTGTGTGTGGGTCACAGGTGTGGGCAGGCTTGTACAGTCTGTCCAAGGGATCATGCTGCTGTGGCTCCTTTGCTCTTGGTGCAGGAGCTGATCAGATAAAAGTTCCCTTGGCTTTTCCTCCGGGTACTGTAATCATGTTCTGGTCCCTGTATCTCCCCACCCTTGTTCTACATGAGGATCAGCTCCATCTTCTCTGGCATGGTTTGATGAGGAATGCAACGCACAATACAAATTTGCAAGGTAAATTTAATCTACTAAAGAGTTACAGTTCATCTCAGTATCTCCTGCCATAACTAACAGCTGCTATAGCATAGTACCAGTCTGTGCTTTTCTGAAAAGAACTAACCGGCTGTTTCTCAAGCCAGTCCTTACAGCACTCCATGGCTGCTAAGCTTGCATGTTTTTTCCCCCTAGAAGCTGATCAAAAGAGAAATGAGGTTTTTGTACAGGGTATTTTCTTTAATGTGTTTCTAGTTTTCTTCTGTCACTAACTTGTTTTTTCTATTCCGTCTTTAATCCGCTGTCTTTCTGGATTCAGCTTCAGAAAAGGGAGCGCTCTTGCAGGGCCTATGTCCAGGTACTTCTAGTGTTTTTAATAAATGTGTCAAGTTATTTGACTGAATGTCTGCCATGCTGTTCTTATATCTGTGAATCTGATTGCTCTAGCTACTGTGGCAGCAAATTCCTTAGTCAAGGTTACAGGATAACTTTATCATTCCCTGGTTTCCAGGATAATTTGAAGCAGAAACTCCCAATGTAAAGATGGAAAAAAAAATTGCCCCAAAATGGGAGAAGATCCATTCAGACATTTTTTGAGTTACCTAAGGCAGGGTCTATGCATACAGGAGAAAAGAATTCACACACACACATCCACACACATAGGGTAATCAAAACCAAATGCATTTTACATATGGTTCATACTCACCCAGGAATTGTCACTGGGTGGGTTTAGAATTTTTTTGCTCCCTTACTTACCAACTTAGGAGAAATATAAAAAAATGCAACCTTTGGTAACAAGGCAGAGGTAGACATATCGCAAACTGCAGAGCATCCTTATGGAAGAGAATAGCAAGAGGCGCACCTTACGCCTAGCATATGGAATTAAGAGTTTAATTTTAGGTGTCAGGCTGGGAAATGGATGACAGATATTAGGGGTTTTGTTTCAGTTTTTGTTTGTTTTGTTTTTCCATGGCTGACTAGTGCCACAGGCAGTTTGAGAGACAAACCCCATAGACAAATATGCCTGTAGTTTTGTAAAATCACAAAGTACTCCTTAATTGTAAATGGTTTTTTATAAGGACATCAAGGGTTTGCCAAATGTGCTGCTTGAGATCTTGGGGCCCAATCCCTTGGGGTGCCTGTAGACATGCTGTGGGGCTGCTCTGATTAATCGAGTCTGCTGCAGTGTGGTAATTACTGTACTCCAACTGTGCTCCAACCAGCTTCTGCATCTCACGTATTAGCAACCCCATGCTTCAATATGGCAGTGGGAGCACTTGAACCAAAGCTTGTTGAATGAGTTTTGGTTTAAGTGCCTCCACCACTGTTTTGAAGCACAGGAATGCTAATACGTGAGATGCTGCTGTGCTTTAATTACAGTGGCTCTCAGAGTCACTCTAATTAAAGACCCTCCCCACCCTAAGACCTCTTAGGGAACCTAAAAGTGACCTAAGACCTCTTATGGAACTTCCTTTGCCCTCAATAGGAGTTGTCAGATAGACCATGCCAAGTTGTGCTTTGGGCATCAGCACAAACAAACAATATACCTGGATCTTTTTTTTTTTACTTCTCATATCACTCAGAAATGTGAGAAAAAGGTTGTTTTTTTTTTTTTTAATTGCCCTCAAATATCCATCTTTTGGCTGAAAACAAACATAGGAAATTCAGCTGCAAGAAAGTGTTTTTGTCATAAAATTCTGGCTTTGTATTCTGTGATCCCAGTCCTATACACACTTAAATTGCACTGTATAAGCATGCCCAGTTATTTAGAGTTACTCTCAGTCTTTGCAAGGCCAGGACCTGGGGTTATAATAAAATTTATCCTTCAACCTTGATTACAGCATTTGCTCCATTTAGACACATAAAGTAGTATGTGTGGTGTGGATAAGTGAATGTTGCAATAAAAAACATGATTTTTTTATTCCCTAACTTTTGTGTATTTAGCTCTGCAATTTTAATGTTGCAGTAATGTAGGATTTGTTATTTGATATATATAGAGAGACATGAGAACGAATCACACTTGTAAGACTAGGAACAGACGTTGCATTTGTCCTGGGACCAGTTTATCCCAGGAAAAGTCCCGGGATTGAATACACATTCTCCTTCCAGTCATGGGTTAGTGAGTGGATGAATGCACTTTCACTTTTCTGCTCTAGATTCAATGTAGTGGATGAATGCACTTTCACTTTTCTGCTCTAGATTCAATGTTTCAATCCTGGGATAACTGTTCAGACACACTTCATGATGTTCCAGGACACACTGTTAACACTTCCTTTCCTGTTAACCTTTCTAGTACCAAGACAGGCTGTCTCTTTTGTTTCTAGGCTTTGTCCCGAGACCACAAGCTTAGACATCTGAGTGATCACACATTATCTCAGGAGAAAATGGTTTCCCCTGAGACAAATGCAACGTCTGTTTGTAGCCTAAATTCAGATCTGACACATTTGCATAGCTCAAATATCTCCCCAGATTAAGTATGATGTATTATATTGTCTGCTTTTTTGCATGCTGTAGCACACATAGTTAGATTGTTTGGATTACTGTGACAATAAAACATACATTAAACTGCACTCCTCTTCATTATTAGCTCATCTTCTTTGCTTCGGGTTTGGGGTTCCTGAGGTGCAAGAGAGATGCTAAATGTATCAGTATACAGACTTACTCTTGTCTTTCCAGATACATTAATCATACCCATTATTCAGTCTGATTTCTCTTGAGATTTCATAGGTGGTAGTCAAAACAACTTGGATGTTTTTGTTCCTTTTTCTCTTTTTAGCTCTTTTAGACTGTTTGCACTGCAGTCAGAGGTGTGATTGCAGCCCATTTAGGCACACTCATATTAGTTTGATTGAGCTAGTAGGGTCAGTAGCTCTGAAGATGTAGTGGCACAGACTTCAGTGTGGGCTTCACAGCTAGAAACACACATTTAAAAGGCCAAGGCAGAATCAATCTAAGTTATGCAGTTTTCTGTAAGTGGTGTAGTGTAGATCAGTAATGAACAGAACACATGTTCACCCTTTGGTGCGGAGGGCAAATCTTAGACCATTCCATCATTTTTAAACCAGTTTGTGTGTGCTGAACTTCTGTTCTGTTATGGGTATAAACTGGTTTTGTGTGCCAAACTTCGGCTTCGTTATGGGTATAGACTGGTTTCCAATCCCTTATAGCTGTAAAAGTGTAATGTCTGTACCTGGCCCAGGAGGCTTCTGTAACAGGGACCCCTTACCTTGTTACTGGGAAGGCTGGGGAACAAGCAGGGCCTGTGAGGGCCCTTTAAGAGTAGAGTCTCTGTGTCCTGAAGAGATAGGAATGCAGACTAAAACAGTACAGGAGGCAGAAACAGGGTTTCTGCAGTCATCAACATCATTGCTATGGGTTCACTGAAACGAAGCAGAGCTGAATTGACCAATGAGAGAACACTGGGCTCACGCTACATGATAGGTTGGACTGGCTGGAAGGGGAGGGATATACCAGTATAAGAGACTTGCCTTCAGGCCAGGAAGTTCACTCTAGCCCTGGCTGGGAAAGGATGAGGATCCTGTGGTAAGTGGGGAAGTGGGTGACCTGGAGGAAGCACAAGCAGGAGGGGGCAACAGGAACACCTTCTCATTCTTGCTGAGAAAATAGGGGAATTGGTAGTTACCTCAGGTGTCTGTACATGAATGCACGGAGCCTGGGAAACAAGCAGGAAGAATTGGAAGTCCTTGCACAGTCACAGAACTATGACGTAATTGGAATAACAGAGACTTGGTGGGAGCTTGCATGACTGGATCACTGGCATGGCTAGGTAGGATGACCATCCACCATGTTTTTCCTGGGACCCTCCCAGATTTTGGAGGTCGGTCCTGGGATGCGATTAAAATGAGTGTCCTGGTTGCAGGGCACAGTCCAGTGGAGAAGAGAAAGTGGGCACCTCTGACTGCAGTTAGTCCCAGGAAGGTGGTTCGGCAGACTACCTGTCATAGCATGCCTCTTTGCCTCTTCCTGTAGCAGGCCGCTGACTTCGGAGCGGGGAGGAGAGAATAGAAGCAGTGTCCGGGATGCCCCATATTTCCAAATGGGATGGATGGTAACCCTGTAGATGGGTATAAACTGTTCAGGAAGGACAGGCAGGGAAGAAGAGAAAGAGGAGTTGTTCTTTGTGTAAAAGAGCTGTATGATTACTCAAGGCTCCAGTAAGAAAACGGAGACAGGCCTGTTGAAAGTCTCTGGGTTAGGATCAGAAGGGAACAACAAGAATGATATCATGGTGGGTGCTTGCTATAGTAAGGATGTAGATATATTGGAGAGAGTCCAGTGGACGGCAACAAGAATGGTTAGGAGATTGGACCACATAACCTATGAGGAGAGGTGGAGGGAACTGGGCTCATTTAGTTTGGAGAAGAGAAGAATGGGAAGTGTGTTTGCAAAGAGGATGGAGCTCAACTATTTTCAGTGGCAGCAGATAACAAAACAAGGAACAATGGTCTCAAGTTGCAGCAAGGGAAGTTTAAGTTAGATATTAGGAAAAACTTTCTCACTTAGAGGGTAGTGAAGCCCTGGAGCAGGTTACCCAGAGAGGTTGTGGAATCTCCACCCTTGGAGATTTTAAAGACCTGAGTAGACAAAGCCTTGGCTGGGATGATCTAGTTGGGGCTGGTCCTGCTTTGAGCAGGGGGTTGGACTAGATGACCTCCTGAGGTCACTTCCATCCATAACTTTTTATGATTCTATAACCTCCTCAGCAAGCTGCTGTGGAGTCTGGAGTGTGATAGTGGGAGCCCTGGCATGCAGGCAAAGAAGCCTCCTTTTTGTTCCAAGTTTGCACAGGGTGGGGATGGTTTGAGTTCATCTTGTTGTTTGTTTTTTGTGTACGTGGACAGGCCGTGTCTTTTGTTTTGCTGTGGTAAAGATAGTAAATACCAGAAGACCAGATGGTGGTTGTGGGGGTGGTAAAAAGGTTGCCTGAGAGGCACTCTGGGTTTTGATCTGTGCC